CGACAACCACAGCGACAAACAACAACATCCGACAGGAAAACTGGCGGTACACACACACCGAAAAAATACACATGCGGTCCGAAATACAGATGCGCTTAACGTTTGACCCCCTTGTTGCGGCACAACCACACACACACGTGCAAAGCAGCAGCCTTGGCAATAAGCACGTGCAGTCTTCTTCTGTTGCTACTGCTGTTTCTGTCTTTACTCCGGAGAGTAGCCTAAATAGCCTCCGCCATGACGCCCCCTCACGCGGTCCCAGATCATGGCCTACAGAAGCATTTTCTCTTCCCAACTCTTCTTGAGACTGACGTATTCTTATTTTCACGATTCAGCCTACTAGCGCGGCCAATGCTAATAACGAAAGACACAAACTCGCGATCATGGCCTTTAGAATCAAATCATTCTCTGTCTTCAGCCGCGCCGAGACTGACGTTTTTTCATTGGTCAGCCGGTTAGCGCGGTCGACGCCACCGATAACAAAGACACACACAAACACACACACACTGCACTAAGACTGCACTAAGACTGACGCGTTCATTGGTCAGCCGGCTAGCGCGGTCGATGCTAATAAACACACACACACACACACACACTGCACTAAGACTGGCGCGTTCATTGGTCAGCCGGTTAACGCGGTCGATGCTAATAAACACACACACACACACACATACGCGATGACCATCTTTTTTCGCGATGGAATATACGCCACGCACGGCGGTACAACATTGAAAAAAAAAAAACACCTTAGTGCTCTATCTAGCGCGTTGCTCAGCCCACTCCCCGTCGGCTCCGGCGAGGTGATGTGGTGCGCGTCCCCCGATGCCCCGTATCCCGCCAACTCGCAGTAGATGCGGGCCCCCCTCGCCTTGGCGTGCTCGAGCGACTACTTTTTGGTCGGAAGAAAGCGACAACAGCAACACATACACCGCACACGGACAGGCACACACTGAGACTGACCGGCGCCCTGTTCATCGGTCAGCCGGTTGAGTAGCGCGCGGTCGATGCTGATGACAACAAATGCGCACACGCGCGCCATCACGGGTGCCTGAGGCTGGGACAGAGCTATGGTTGACCGTGCACGTGATCTCGTCAGAACACGACGCACTAGAGCAGTAGATACACCTCCCGCGTTGTTTCTCTCCTACCCCGTGGTCTGAAAAGTCGAAAGAACAACGCGTTCGTTCGTGCGCAGCCGAGGAGGCAGTCTTCGCCGTCTGTGTTTTTCGCACGCCAACCTTGTGTGTATCGCGGGCAGTCTCGACGCCCCGTCCCATTTCACCGCATGCATACGTTATTGGGTACATACATAAACCAACCGCATTGGCAGGCAGGCAGGCAGGCTGCCCGAACTACAAGAAAGCGCGGTGCTCAACCCACTCCGACCTCCGCCCCAAGCACCAGGACATTCTTCGCCTAAAAGAGAGAGGTAAGGGAGGCACGCAGCGAAGCGCCCGCCCCACTCCGCACCCACAGTACACTCCTCGTGGCAGGCGAACCGAGTTGCAATAAAACAAACTTCTTTCATCCTGATCTTAAAACGAGTTTCGGCGTAAAAAAAAAAGTAATCCTCATCTTAAAAACGAGTTCCGGCACAAGACGAGAACCATGAGCCATACTGTCGATAGAATACTCTACCTCGAGGATGAGGACACCGCCGCCCTCGGCCATGACGAAACCGCTTCTGTCCGCGTCGAACGGTCGGCTGGCGGCCTTAGGACTACATGTGCAGACAACAAACCACGGGGGGGGGGGGGGGGGGGGGGGGGGCCCAGGGGGAAGGGGGATTTTTCCCCCTTTTGGTTTTCCCCGGGGTTTTTAAATTTGACAACCCTTGCTCCCTTTGGAAAAAAAAAGGGGGTTTTTCCCCCCAAAAAAAAAAGGGGGGGGGGGGAATTTTAGGGAACCCCCCCTTAAAAAAGGGAAGGGAAAAAAAAAAGGGCTTTTTTCCCCCCCTCGGGGTGTAAAGTCGGGTTTTGGGGGGCCCAACCCCCCAAAACCAAAACCAACTTTTAGGGGCCCTTTTTTTGGGGGTAAAAAAAGTGGGGGG